CAGCCGCGCCCCCACCCCCAGGTGAAGCAGATCCTCCGCCGGCGCCAGATCCGCCCACACTGGATGTTCGTGCTGGACTCCCTGCTCAGCCGCGCGGTGCGGGCAGCCCTGGCAGTGCTAGGCCCAGGTGGGTGTGTGGGTGGCGCCGACCGGCCGCCGGCGAAGGCGTGACCTTTGAGGGCATGACCAATGTGGAGTGGCGCCGGTAAAGGGCGTGGTGGTGCTGGGGCAGCTCCCTCAGGGTCAACCAGTTAGAAGCCGGTGGGCGTGGCCAGAGGCCCGGTGTAGGGCCGCCCTTCCCACCAGTCCCGTGCGGTCCCTCACCTGTGTCAGGGACCTCCAGGTGAATGTGTTCACCCTGCCTGAGCCCAACCCACTCGAATTGCCAGAGGTGGAGGAGACTGTCTCCCCGCTGTCAAAGGAGCCGAGTAAAGAAAAAGGGTTCCAGGCGAAGCAACCGGAGACCCCTGATCTGCCGAACCTCCTGCCGCCAAAAGAGCCTGAACACGGACCCCCGCCTCTGCTGGTGCAGCTGGGCCTTCTAAGAGCAGAGACAAACAGGTACAACGCCTCAGAATCGCCCTTGCCCTTTGAGCCGCGTCACCCCCACTGCATTCTGCTTGCCTCTGCCCTCCAACAGGCTGCGGGCTGTCCTGGCTGAGAAGGAAGGGACTTGCCGGGCTCTGATGCAGCGGACTCTGCAGCGGATGGATGCTGAGGCCGGGACCCGAGCCCTGGCCTCGGAGCCCCCAGGTGAGCACGGCCTGGCTGCAGGACTGGCATGGTGGTGTGAGGCAGCTTCTGGCAGGTGAGCCTTAGCCTAACCTCCTGCCCTTTCTCACAGCTGCTCTGGCAGCCGACCAGGGCCTGGTGCGGTGGCTGCAAGAACGAAATGTGGATTCTGGCACCATCCAGACGGTAAGGGTGTGGATGCTGACATCCCCACCAACCAAGGACCTCTATCTCCATCTTTCTTTTCATTGCCTCCCTCTTTAGCAAAGCATCCCAATGCCTGATGGCAAAGTGCATAGTAGCAGAACCACCTCATTGTACAGATGAGAAAACTAAGGCTTGGGAAGGGGTGGGACCTGCCTCACCACACCAGCAGGTAGAGCAGTCCAGGGTCTTGAACACCTTCTCTGCCTTTATGTCTCCCCCCATCTCTGGCCTTTTCTCCACAACCAGCTGCTCAACCACAGCTTCACCCTCCATGCTCTGCTCACCTGTGCCTCTCGAGATGACCTCATCTACACCCGCATCAGGTATGCCTGCCCTCCAGGGCTGATTCTGGTGGAAGGCCTCATGCTGGCCAGATCCTGACCTCTCACTGCCCAGGTTCCTCTCTGAGGATGGCAGGATCCGCTGCGACAGGGGGCATTGGGCAGACAGCGGTACCAGCGAGAGCCCAGGGCTGCCTTCTGGTAGAGCCACATTGAGCCTGTGTCCTCAGGGGAGGGATGGTGTGTCGTATCTGGAGAGCCATCCTGGAGCAGCGAACAGGAGCCGTGCCAGGCACCCCCAGCCCTCAAGAGGCAGAGTGAAGGTCTTGGACGGAGGCAGGAAGCCAGACTCAGGACCAAGAGTGAAGACAAAGCCACCAGGAGCAGCTCCGACACTCCATGGCCTAGGCCCCCTGGAGGGAGTTGAGACCACCCAGCAGACTGAGAACTGCCAGGCTAAGACTATTAAACAGAACTTTTTATTTTTTATTTTATTGGGGGCTCGTACAATTCATACATACATCACAATCCATATATACATCCATTGTGTCAAGCACATATGTACATTCGCTGCCCTCATCATTCTCAAAAACATTTGCCCTCCACCTCAGCCCTTAATATCAGTTGCAAAAAAAAAAAAAAAAATATATATATATATATATATATATATCAGTTGGTCATTTCCCCCCAAACAGAACATTTTTTTACCTTTGTCTTAGTGAAGTCTGAGGGCTGAATCTGAAGTGTCCTCTGCCCCAAACCCCTCCCCGTCCGTCCCTGGTTCTAGCCTGCTGTCACCCGCCCCCGCTTTCCCAGCAGACATCCGCTCCTCAATGCCCTTAGGAAAGACTTTACTGACTTGAGCCAAGGGCAGGCCCTGAGATGGGGGTCCAGGGGCAGCTATGTCCTGGGAGCCAGATTCGGCCTGAGGGGAAGGAGGCCGTCCACCCACTCGCAGGGCCGCTCCAGAAGGGTCTGCCACAGCCGCTTCTCCTCAGGTGTGGAGTCCATCCAGGGCACCGGGAGCCCGTAGCTGCTCCCTGGGTGCAGGTGGCCGGGGTGGGAGACCCATCACATTTGAGACCCCAGATTCCAGGAAACACCCGTCTGGTTTCAGATTATGTGCTGCCCAAGGCCACACATGGAGTCCCTGACTCCCCCTAGGGCCTGCCCCACTCACCGGTGCCCAGGCTGAGGCGTGTGCCCCCCAGTTGGCGGCTCGTCAGGGCCCCGTGGTCCCAGAGGGAGAGCTCAGCACAGGCCTGGCGGAGGTCTTCAGGCCCGAAGCCGTCGTAAACCATGGTGTGGTTGAACATGGGGCTGAGGCTGCGGCGCACTACCCGAGTCCGCTGGCGGCTGGCCCGGCTGTCGTCGGGCAGCACTGAGCTGAGGGGAGGGGCCCGGGTATCAGGTGGCCACCCCTCACACCCCCCAGAGCCACCCAAGTACTGAGGCCTTTCTCCCTCACAAATGTCCACATCCTGTGGCTCCTGCCTGAGGTCTGGCCTCTGAACTGTCACTGTCCCAGGACTTCATCTTGGATGCCTTGCCTTTAGTCTCAATGCCTATTCAAGGGACACCAGAGGACTGTTTGGGAGACTCAGATCTGCTAGTCCCTGGCTCAGTGTCCTTCACTGGTCCCTGCTGCCCCCAGAATTAGTTTCCAAACATCCATAAGCTTTAGAAATCCTTCTGCAAAACAATATTGGAGGACAGTTCACAGCAGAACGGTTCTGGCCAAATCCGGTAGAGGAACCCTGGACCAGGCAGGCCTTAGTGCCCTTACTTCCTGAAAGCATGTGGGCAGCATCAGGGGGGCCCCCCCGAGGTCCAAGTTCAGGCCCAAGCCCTATAGCCAAGCCTTTTGGGTTCTCCACAGAGGTACCAGTCTCAACCTCCACCCTCGGAATGTCTGATTGGTGGCAGGCACACAGGAATACAGATCCCCAAAGGTCTCCTAGGCCTTCCTGACTCCAGGCCTTTCCGACCCCTTTCACCCCAGCTCTGTTATTAAAGCCCACACTAGGCACTCTGAGGTGGGCACGATGGGGTTAGTAGCAGGCCGAGAGCTCCACCGCGGTGAGGTCCCTGGCCCCTCACCATTGTACGTAGGTATCCAGGGAGCCAGAGCGAAGTGGCACCAGGTCCTGACATTCCTTCACCCAGAAGTGCAGCTCCCCGCTCTGGGGCAGTCCGGGGCCTGCGGAGAGGAGCCCCTCAGGCCCCGCCCTGCTGATGGGCCCCGCCTCCCCCATAAGATAGGAGATCTCCGCCTCCCAAAGCCATCCAGCTGGGCGTCTAACGGGGCATTCACTTACCCTCCGAGCTGGCGGGGACATACTTGAGGGACAGAGAGAGTAGCCCACGACTGGGAAGCTCATCCGGGGAAGGCGGGACCTAGGGAAGGTGGACTTGTCAAGGGGCGGGACAAGGCCTAGGTAAGAGGGTGGAACCTCCAGAGACACCAATAGGGGCGTGTACGGAGTGGGCGGGGCAAAGGGGGTGGGGCTTCAAGGGGTGATCTTGGGAGGATCTAAGCACTCTTAAGGAAGTGGGTGTGCTCTGGGGCCAGGCCTTCGGATGGACCCTAACGTCTTACCAGGAGGCTTCCTCGAATGAGGGGGGTGAGGGAGGTAAGCATAGTGGGATACGATCTGTGCCTTCTTACAACTCCTCGAGAGGCCGGGCGGTCTCACCCGGGGCTGCAGGGGGAGCCAGGTGGGCTCAGAGTCCCAGTCCCACGTGTTCAGGGGCACTTCCACTTCGCCCAGAAAGATGTTGCGACCCAAGCTTTCGCGGTGCCACACAGACAGGCTGAGCACCCGGCCCTGGAGCTCGGCCTGCGGGATAGAGTACTGGGGACAGGGCTGCGGGTTAATGGAGCACCCCGCGATGGAATCCTGGGGAGCCCCAAGGCTGGGGAAGAGGACTGGACTATCACCCCTGCCACCAAAAGTCTGACATACCCAAGCACGTGCTAATGGGAGTGCCTCCCTGCCATTCTTGGGTGGCTGTCCCTGCCACCAAGCCCCACGCAAGCGGGAAGAGGTATCTTATCCATTAATAAAGGGCCGCCCTGTGGCCGCAGTCTCAGCCTCACCCGGAGGGTCTCATTGAAGATCGGATTCAGATTCCGTTTCTTCACCGCAGTCTTGCGCTTGCTCTGCTTATCCGGGAGGAGGTAGCTTTTGACGTAGCTGGTGGGGAACGGGGTGGGGGGCGGGAGACGTGAGGAGTGGAGCGGAGGTGAGAAGGGACCCTTCTCGCTCCCTATCCCCAGTCCCAGGCTCTCCCCAGCCACCTACAATGTCCTAGGTCCCAGAGGGAGCTATGCCACAGGCCCCCCCACCTGCCTCCCACCAGGGTAGAGAGCGTGCTACTCCCCTTTCCGAAGACGGGGAAACTGAGGCCAGGATAGGTTCAGTGGTGGAGTTGGTGGTGAGCTCGGCTCCCTGGCGTCCAGAAGGGTCCCGCCCTCCCCACTCCGGGGGGCCTGGGACTCACGGGTCCGAGCGGCGACGCCGGGCGGCGGCCAGGCCCTGGCACTGGATGACTTGCACGCGCAGCTCGGCGGCGCCCGCTTCGTAGCGCAGCGCGAAGTGCACCGAGCCACGCACCTGCACTGCGTCCGCGTCCCCCGACAGGCTAGCCAGGCTGCCACTCAGCTGCGGGCGGGCGGTGCGGGTCAGGCCCGGGAGGGGGTAACGCGAGCTAGCTGACGTGGGGGCGGCCACGTCTGATGGGCGGTGCGGGGGTGCTGCGCCCCACTCACCGTGGAGGAGTTGAGGCTGGACACGGAGGAGCTGCTGCTGAGCATGCGGTCCAGTGAGGGGCCGGGCCCTGGGGCCTCCTCCCCGTTCTCCAGAGCTTCGGACGCCGCCTCGGTCTGGGGAGAGGGGAGAGTGACCTGGGGCGCCCGTCTTTCCAGCTCCCACCGCCACCCGGGCGCGCCCGGACCCGACGGCTCCGAGTCCCGGGCAGAGGCACTCCTGCGCCAGACATCCGCTCCGGGTCTTCCAAGCAGCCGCGGACCGCTGCCGCCTACCTGGGCGGGCTGGGGCCGCTGCTCCGGCTGTCCCCGTGGGGCCGGCTCTGGCTCCGCCTCCTCTGCGTCGACCTGCGCGCCCTGCAGGCAGGGGGCTGGGGCCAAGCACAGGCTGTCGAGCCCTCCCCTGGACACTTTTGGAAGGTCTGCTCCACCACCCTCAGGACCTGTCCCCACAGGCCTCTCAGTGGCCCCTAGGTCGCCCGCGGAGACCAACCCCAGGAGACATCGGCCAGGCCTGTGGGGTCAAACAGAACTGCCTCGGACCTCCTCAAGTTCTCTGGTCCCCATCCCCCACCCACCCCTCACCTTCCTGGGTTTGAGCCTCCTCTTCATAATCGGAAACCTTGGAGGGGGTAGGTGGGGAGGGCAAATCCGGCACCTGTGGAGGAGACAGGGAGAGGTTACAAGTGGGGGCTAGTGAGGCAGAGGTGTCACCAGGAGGTCAGAGGCTCCAAAAAGTTAGCCCATTTTTGGGTTGAGTTCAGCCCTCAGGGCAGGGTGGAAGCCAGCAGTGGGACCAGCTAGGCCTGTACCCACACCCTTTCACGCTCTAGGGCCTGCATGACATGACTTCCAGGGTTCCACCTAGGGGCCAGTAGTCTCGGGGCCCCTGACCTCACCAAGACCAGATTCTGACGGTCCCTTACCAGCCAGGCCAGGTTCACACCACTACTTAACAGAAATGGACTGCTGAGACCAGAACCCCGAAAGGGTGTGCCGGAGGTGTCCCAATTCCTTTATCTCTCACTGCCATCGCGTTGATTCTGACAGGGTAGAACCGTCCCTGGGGTTTCCAAGACTGCAACTCTTTTTACTGGAGTAGAGAGCCTCATCTTTCTCTTGCAGAATGGTTGATGGTTTTGAACTGCTGACCTTCCTGTTAGCAGCCCCAAACCTAATCACTATGGGACCAGGCCTCCTAGGAGGGAGCTATTTCCCCAACATATTCCCAGCTGGGCTTCAGGACCACTCCAGTCATTCATCGACTCATTCAGTCAGTCATTACTCACCCCGGCCTCCTCGCTGAGCCTCTCTGGGGGGGCCTCATTTAGGGGGCGCCTAGAAGTGGCAGGAGGTGGTTGTCAGTGAAGGAGCCCTGGGCGCTGGGAGCCACCTTCCACCACTCTTCACAATGCCTCCTCACCGGGGCTCCAGCTCCTCTTCTTTCTCTTTCCCGGAAACCTCAGCTTCCCCATCGCTGCCCAGAGCCTGGTCACCTGGGCCAAGGTGAGGAGTTCTGTTGTAGCCCATTCTCAGGCAGTCTGGCTGTGACTCTCATGGGAGCCGTCCTTGGAGGCACCCACCCACCTCTTGCGGCCCACGAAGGGCAGTACAATACAGGGCAGGGGTGGCAGGGGGCAGTGGCAGTGATGTAGCCAGGACCCGAACTCAGTGGCTCCCTGTCCTCATGCATGCAAGAGGCCTGCCGTCCCGGGCATCTCCCTCACCCCTGGGGCTCTTCTTCCAGCGGATGGAGGCACGGACCAGGTCAGAGCCGAAGTGGACGTGGTGGTGCCGTTGGGAGCGTGCTTCCTGGAACCAGTCCCCTGTCTGGATTTTCAGCTGCCCAGGGTCTGCCAGTGAGGCTCGAAGCTTGCTAGAGGGGTGGGGGTGGGGAGGCAGGGCAAGGTTGTCACCATTCACTTGCCAGCATTTCTCCCACCCACTCTGTACGTGGGGCCAGGGACACAAGAGCCATTGGGCTTGATCCCTGAGTCCAGAACAGACAGGCACACTATGGGTCAGCTGGGCCCATGGGAACCTGGAAGGCCTTCCCGGAAGAGGCAGAGCTTGCTTTGCTTCTTGGAGGACAATTTGGAGTTCTCCAGGAAGAGGAGGACAGTGATGATTGCCCGGTAAGTGGGAGTACTGTGGCCCATACTCCCATAAACCCCCTCAGTTCTGAGGCAGGACTCCACCGCACTTTACAGTAAAGAGATTGGGTTTGGGGAGGTCAGATAAGTGCCTCAAGTCAGAGCAGCCCTCCCATGCTCCTTTGTGTTTTTCGGGGAGGATCAGCAGGGGCTGGAAGTGAACAGCTGTGGGTGGAACACAGAGCTGCTAGAATGTGATACTTTGTATACAGACAAGGATACAAAGTGCTGGGAGGGGGGGTTCCTGGTGAAAGATGAGGGGGAGCTGCTAGCAGGGACCAATCCAATCCAGAGGCTCTGTGGGCACGCTGAGGAGCTTGCTCTTGTCCCTGGAGGTGCTGCGGTTCCAGCAGGGGGTGCTCAGAACAGCTGTGGACTGCGGCAGGTGACCCGTGGACTAGAGGCAGGGAGCTAGGTGAGGAAGCTGTGGTGCCCACCCAGGGGGCACATGACCTGTGAGCTGACCAGGGGCAGAGAAGACCAGAGGGCAAAGGCAAGAACTCCACCACGTGACCGGCAGTCTGCTGTCAGGGCCAGCCTGAAGTCCCTTCTCCTGGGCTCTCCTGGCTAGTGGCTGACCTTGCTCACCTGACTCGCCCCTCCTCCAGCTGGCGCAGGTGGGCATCTCGCTTCAGGACGTCGGCAATGGCCTGCTGCTCCTCCTCTGTCAGGAAGCTGAGGTCCAGCAGCCTGTCGACCTCAGGTTCTGGCTCACATGCCATGGGTAGGGAGGGCAGAGCCCAGAGCCCCTCGTGAGATGAGTGGGCCCTCTGGGGCATCAGCTGGGGGCTGTGCTCTAGTTGGGCACAGGTGGCTCCCTGGGGTAGACCAGGAGTCAGGTTAATACTGACCCCAAGGTGTCTGGGATCAGGCGGTGGGAGGGCTGACCACAAAGAAAGTTGGGAACACAAACACACGCAGGGACATACCCTGAGATATGGGGACAAAGCTCCTCAGAGATGGAGCGCACAGCCACACACACAGTGATGCGTCCGGCACTGAGAGGGAGCACACACAGGCCCACTCAGCAGGTGGGCGGGGGCATGGCCAGCTAAAGAGCCGTCTCCACTCCAAAGGCGTGCACTCCCATATGCGTCCCTCTGCACACAGGTGCTTGCGCACAAAGGAAGACAGGGACCCAAGATATGTTCACAGATACAAGAAGAAATCCTGGGACAAATATGTGTCCCCAGATGCAAACAAATCTCGCAGACTATTAGTCTCACTATAGTGCCCCCACTCCTCTCCCACCCCCACCCCCACCCACTGGGTTATGAGCTTCTTGAAGGTAGGGACAGGGCATCCCCCCCAAAGCTATGTGTGTACTTCATATATAACCAGCAGTCGGTAAAAGCTTGAGTAATGAAATGCAGAAACAACGCCCCCCCCCACCTCAGACTCATGCATGCCCACGGGGCCTGCCCCCAGCAGCAGCTCAGCCCTCTGCCCTGGGGACCTGCCAGCCTGGCTCTTCTCCCTCCACCCTCCACCCTGCCCTGGCCCATTTGGCCTTCCTGTCTGAAGCAACCTCCCCAGCTCACACCCCCTCTACTTCCTCCTCCCCCACCCCGAGGTAACCGCTGCACCCACGCACCCACTCCCACTGAAGCCTCTGCCTCAGGGATTCCCCTAACGTCTGCTCCTGGGCCCCTCTGCTCAGGTTGGATGGGTCCCCCCACCACTGGCCCAAGACTTGGCTGGGCTCCTGGAGAGGAGGCCCTGGGCAGGCCGAGTGGCTCAGGCTGCTTAGGTACCACGGTCACTCCGGAAGGAAAACATCTGCCCAGCCCCGAGGGGCGTGTGGACGTGGCAAGGGGCCGCACGCCTTGGCCGCAGAGCAGAGCTGTAGCCTGAGCCCGTGGGGCAGTCGCCCTGCTGCTGCCCGCCCCCACCTCACGTCCTCCCAGGCCAAGACTCCAGGCAGGGCAGGGACGGGCAGTGGCGGGGCAGGCGGGCAGGTCCCAGCGTGTGCCCGCCACCACTGCCTCCAGCAGGCTGTCAGTAACCACCCAGGCTCCCTTCCCCAGGCGCCGCGGCTTCTGCCTCTGCCCGTCCATGTTGTGTGAGGCTGTCTGGGCTCCACGTTCACGGTATTTCCTGAACAGCTACTGAGCAGGCAGGCACAGGGCTGGTTTTCCACATGCCTTCTGGGGCCCCCTCTGGGGCCCAGTGTGAGTCCACTGGCGTCTGCAAGTTGCAGCATGCCTGTGTCCAGTGGGCACTGGGAGCTGCAGGGTGTGCGCGTGAATGTAGTATTGCTGGGGGTGTGTCTGTGTCCCCCTGCATGTTGATCTCCTGGCCGTGGGGGTGTCTGAGACCCTCTGGGTGAAAGGCTGGTGTCACCGTGTGCCCTGCGAGTGTTTCTTCCTGTGCTGAAACCTCGCTGTGTTGTGGTGTGGGCCCCGGTGCTCCTGGGCCCACGGGGGCCATCAGGGGTGTGCATGAGTGTAGCGGTGCTGGGTGGGGATGGGGGTTCTTGTCCTGGCTGGGCTCTGTGGGCATCTGCTGCTCAGGGACCCCAGCTCAGACCCCACAGTCCCCCACCACCACCTCCAGGGGTAGAATCTGGGTGCCTGGTCTTCTCTATTCCAGTCCAACCCACTAGTCGGCATAAGGGTCTGTTCACTGAGGCCACTGTTCCAGTTCCAGGAACTCCTGCCTCCCCCCACCCCAAAGTCCCAGGGTCCCAGAGGGTGCTCAGAACACCAGGCAGCAGGATCTGCCCCTTGGGACGCTGGCAGGGGACCCCAGCCCTGAAGTGTGTTACCTGTAGGGTCCAGAATGAGGGGACACCTTCATAGGGTGACCCAGGCTCCCCTGGCAGCCAAGCTTCAGGGACTGGGAGTAGAGAGGTGAGGTGAGGGACTAAGCTGACTCAACAGGCCGCCCAGCCTGGCTAGTGCCCTGGTGGAGGAGGAAACACCTTCAGCAGGGCCTGATGCAAAACCGGGCCTGGATTCTGGGCTGGCTAGGGGCACACACCACCCCCACCTTTCAGAAACCACCTCCTGCACTCCACTGTGGGCTCTGGAGCCCCAGTCCCTCAGAGCCTTGACTGCCC